GCGCTTATATTTTGGTCAACGTTTCCTGCACATTGACGTCTACTTGTTCAGGGCAGACCTGAAACTGACGGTTCTATAGCCGACTGTCTCCATTTATACTGCGCGATGTTTCGGTTGGCTGATCAAACCGATGACTCAACTCGGAAATTCTAACCAGATGCTCAACCCGGAAGATCTTACCGGAATTCGATTGGCCAATCAAATTAAACGACTTCCGGTAATATCTTCCGGGTCGAGCATCCGGTTAGATCTTTCGAGACGAATCATCGGTTTGCTCAGGCAATCGAAACATCCCTCGATATAAATGGAGACAGTTGGGATTTGAAACCCTCGGTTTCGGGCTTGCCCTAAACCAGTAGACCGCGATGTTTACGAACCGTTGGCCCAGAATGCCAGGGCAAAGTCCAAACACGGTAGCTTATTCCGAAAAGTCAATATCGATAAATCTTCAAATATATCTACTCGTTAGGATGTTCGAGTTTGCACTTGCAATTTTTCAGCTAATAGCCTCTCATTTTATCCAACTATCATTCTATTGTCCATTTACTCCTATTTCTGATAATAATTTCCTAAGATATAGATAGATTAATAATTTTACTCGGATACGACGAGCTTTTCCAGCTGCGCACGACAAATACGAATTTTCTGTTTTTTTAATTCGGTTATGCGAATCGATCTTCGTCGCTTTGTCGATCCCCGTGGAATGCACAGCCATTAAAGATTAAATACCGATAAAGAAAATAAACGATCGAAAAGTAATATGATTTTTGACAGGCGATCGACCACGATAAACGACAGAAACGACCAATTACAAATTTATCCTTTTATCCCCTCCATTCGCAAACAGAATTTCAACCGCTTGACTTATCAGGTGATAGGTACTAATTGCCGCGAACCTATTTGCTTATCGTTTGCCCTGTCCATTATAGGCTAATTAATAATTTGGCGATAATGATTCGCGAGATTGTCGCGTAGGGCAGGAATGCTAATTCGTTCTGGAATCGGGTCTCGATCGTGGTTCCCGCGTCGTCGCGTCGCTTTCGATCGGGCGAAAATAGCAGGTACTCGCGGTGCAGGAATTACGTCGTGCACGGTTTACCTGACAAGCCAGCCAAACAGAACATTAATCCGTTACCGGCCGCGTACCAACACCAATGAAATGTTTGCCTAGCTGCTCGTGTTATGTAGATTAGTTATCAGATACACCGGTCTCGAGTTCGCGTTGGAACTTGGGTGCACTATTCGATCCCTCTATGCACAGTGCCCCGCTGAGAATGTAAATTGGACATCCGTGAATTTATCGCGGTTCGCCCTGTGATTTCTTCATTGCGAATCGCTTTGGGTAGACTCGCAACTTTCAGAGAGTCGCGCGATCTCGAATTACGCGCAAAATCAATTGCTACCTCGTCTCATCGTTGTTCGCGGTGTTTCTTCCTTTATCGACCTTCGTGTTGGAACACCAACGACGAAAGGCAAAAGTTGCCGCAACGGAGTTATCGTAACGAGAGTTCGAAACGAATGCGATTTCTGTTAGCGTGAATTTTGATAAATTCGAGAGAAACGAACGCGTGGGAATTGAGCTAACCGTCGGAAATAGGTAGCTGTACTTTATCTTATACGCGATTACGCGAATCGATCGGTAAAACTATATTTACCATGTTATCCTGTTCAACGATAGCGATAATACAGGTTGTTGATAAGAAATACGTCGATCTTGTATTTGAATTTGTAGAGTTTGTAGAACGAATAATGTAGAAAAATATTTGATCGATAAATACTATGGCGTCTACAGTAAGAAAAATATATTTTACGTAAAATCCTCTTGATACGTTTTCTTCGATACCTTCTCTTGAAATGTTCCAAGTACGTCTTACACATATATCATTGCTCGAAACGTGAATTCATTTCTCAAATTCCATATCTTATTAATCAAAAAATGTAAAAACATGAAAACTCGAATCAAACCGGTAATTCCAATACCACGCTTGCCCCTTATCAATTGAACCTGTTCCGCAAGCTGCTCCAGTTCATTGTCCATTCCAGTAATCGCCATCATCGATCTCCGGCAAACGTTCGTAACCAAAAATTCTTACCGTGCTAACGACGTACCTACAAAGTCTGTTATCGAAAGAAGAAGTTAAAGGATGAAAGTTTGCATCGAAAATCGGCCAGTCATATGAGTAATGGAGCAGTCCTATCGAACAGACAGCGGATACTACGATCCTCGACATAGTAACAAATCCACGTGTTGGTGATGGTGTGTCCGTGATTGCTAGCATGCAGATACGCGGCGGTCTTTATTAGCTGAAACATCCATCCAAGTACATTCCGAGAGCGGACCGACTAGATGTACGATACGATTTTGTTCGATGTTTCCATTCCTGATACGGCTCGAAACGTACCAGACCACTTTAATGAAACGCGTTTTTTAACGAGACTAGCTTCGAGTCTGGAGACGTTTACCACGTCTTTATTTCAATCTCCTTTGCCTCTTCGATCAGTCTGCTTAATCGTTGAGCGTCAAAGACCTCTTTGAATTCTCGTCCTTGTCACATAGTTCTAGCTTCGATAGTTATATGTACAGGCTGATTCGCGCAACAGGGACAAATCACGTCGAGTCGTTAAGTTGCGATTGAATCGATGGGACAAACTTTAACGAGTGGTAATATTAGCCCGGTAAATTCAAATCTCGAGGAAACGGCATTTATCTTACGTACGCGTCGATCTAATAGAAAAGACGTTAGAGAGGGGTTAGGTTCGAGATGGATCAACGATCGATATTTCGGTGTACAAAGGAACGTGCACAATGCGTATATTTGTGCACAGGATGAGTCGTCGTTCCACCTAAATTACCTGTAAATTGTTCGCCACGTGAAAAACCTTGTTACGCTATCGATGGAAGCTGCACCTGCTTTTTTATTCAAAAAAATCTTAGTGCTACCGTTTACACGAGAAATTACACGAGAAATACACGCGTATTATTTGCATGTGGTGTGTGTTAAATGGTGGAAATACAGTCCTTCTCGAGTCGTTTCTCTTTATCCTCTGACATTTTCTTTTAACTTTAAGCAAAAAGGAAATGTTACTTGTATCAATTCCGTGAATCACCCTGTACAAAGACGGAAGAAGAAAGAAGGGAAGAGAGAGAGAGAGAGAGAGAGAGAGAGAGAGAGAGAGTTGAGCGTCGTCGAAACGGTACACGAAGACTACCTCGGACCGCGTTCCGTATCTTACGCGCATTGCACACTATCACGATGTACGTCCAGTTTGATTTTGTGTCGCTCGCATATCAGCTGGTTTTAATCAACGGTGCTAGGTCGTTCTCCACGCTCTAGATTACACTGGAATTCGTGACGTTAAGTCGAAATTATTGTTCGCTCGAGTGTACCTGCACTGTCAGCTTGTTTGATTAAAGGGTGTTCGCTGGATGAAATACCGGCGATTCGAGTATACAGTTTCGGTTTCGTCCTTTTGCAACGATAAACATTTGTGCACAGTTCGCTGGATGGTAGGCGAAATTGCTTCTTAAAACTTATTAAATGTCGTTGGTTTAGTCTATCGAAGTTCGATACCTATCCGTGTGTCCGTGCTTTTATCCGTGTATTCTATATTCGGAAATCTGCGTTTACGCGTTAAGCTCGGATATCGTTTTGCAAATTGTAGTCTCGTCCGATATCGCTTTATGGTATGGTATCGAGTGAGATACGGTTAAAGGGGAATCGTAAACGTTAACAGATTTTTGCCACGTCTCTAATTTTAAGTCGACAAATGTGTAATATAAAGATTCGTGGTAAAATAAGAAGAACGAAGAGAATATACGTCGCAGGATTCGGATATAGGCCATCGCCATTAATCCTGCTTGAAAGATCTCATCGTTCTATGTTCTCTACGTTCGATAGCTTGGAAAATAGTGTGAAAGGGCAACGTGAACCTCGTTTCGACGAACAACGAAGAATGAGCTGAAATCGTGGCAATTAATCACGGGAGAAAGCATCAATTTCCAAGGTTGGAAAGAATTCGAAGCATTAAGTCCGGATGGTTTATATGTACCGACACTGAAACCTAGCTTTCCTACGAAATCGAATCAAATTCCAATTTCCTTGTTACACGGATAGCTGTGGAAACGCGGCAAAAATCGCCAAAGTAACAAGATTAATCGGTCATTAAATGTATCCTCCTGCGAAATGGTACACAGTCAAGAGTGTATCAACCCCAGGAGAACGCATTCCTTTTGTTCGGTACTAGTTACAGCGACGCGGTGGAAAAAACGAACGAAACAGGGAACGATAGCAGTTAAGGGCTAAACCTGTTTCTCAGGCTCGGCATAGCCGCTCCTGTATTCCGATCAAACGTCATCTACTTTAATTAAGTCTCGAAAACGTTGATCGTGCCGACGACCGCCGATTCGTCTTCTCGTTCACGAATTCGAACGTTCGTATTTATTGCGATCAATCGCCAGGCAAAATGCCACTTTAGATCGTTAGAAAAGTTGGCTCGCGACTGTTATTCGTTTAACCGCCTAGATGTTTAAAAATCGTTCTCTTACAGATATTTGCTTCGCGTCGTTTGTTCCTTGTTACGTCGGTTACGTTTTATCCTCGTTCGACTCGCTCGACTCTACAAAAAGACCACGTAACGGCCAACGAAACTGCCACGAAATTCTTCTACGCGTATTAACTCTAGCTCGTCGTTAGCGACAATCGGACCGAAATCGGTAATTGTAAGAGCGCGTTTGTTAACGAAATAAGCGAGTTCACCCGATCGAGATCTATAGCTGGCATCGCACGAGCCGATTTTCTTCTCCCGGCTGCGTTTCTATAATTTAGATGATAGCGATAGGGTATCGCGGAATGGAGAGAAACGACGCGGCAAGGCGCGGGTGTCGCGTGGCAGCTCGATTTTCTCAGCCGAGGAATGCTCCGACCGCCTGTCGGAGGCGTGCTACGAATCGATTTTATCGAAAGGAAGAGCAACTTTTTCCGACGAATAGCTTGACTTACCGAGCCGTACAGAAGACCACAGGAATCCATGCACAGGTACAGACAGGTCGCAACACCTTGGATCCTCAGTTGACCCCTGGATACAGACGTTCGTTGAAATATTGCTGGAAAATAAAAAACGGGTCGATTAACGATTGGCTCATGATGCATTAACGCGAAGTTTCATCGAGTTCAACGTCGTTGAAACGTCGTTGGAATTTAATTTACTCCGTAATTAGCTCATTTTCTGATCAGATACTTCTTGTTGGCTATGCGATTCAGAATGGATAAAGGGGAAATTAATTTAGTTTGCTGCTAAGGATGACCTATGCGGTGTTCGTTGTTACAGCGGTTATTAGCAGTGATCGATAGCTTGCTTTTTATCGCGATAGATCTTTGGTATATTGTTTATTTAACGAAGCGATCGTCGTTAAACGTTCTTTACCCCAGGATTCGGAAAGAACTTTCGACGTTGATCTTTTTGGTTCCTTGCTACTACCAATTTTCCACATGCCAACCACTTGAAAGTCCGTTTATCCTGTAGCACCGGATGTGCCTGGTACCACCGTACTTGGTCTCCTTTCTGATCCGAGTCTATACAGTGTAATCATTTCCATTTTTCCTCGTATGGAAATACAAAGTATATATCACGCGCATTTTTGACAATGCTCCGGCAAAACGATCCACGAGTTTTTCACCTCGAGGTATCGATTATGGGAATTGAAATAACCCAAGGGGCGAGTAATCAAACGTTTTATAAGTTAAAGACGCACGGCAGCTTAAATCGCTAGTTATCGATAACATCGCAGAGACATGTCGCAAATAATAACCGTCCCTCCTTTCTTCTATCTACTCCTGCTTTACGATTACATTTGCTGCGTGTTATATCGCAGGTGATCGTTAACCCAGTATATGGCGACTAAAAATCATACTAATAATATTGTTGCCGGTATCGGCGATTTAATTGAACGTCGATCAAGAAAGAAAGTCCCGGCTACTCTTGTGTGGCCCGAGTAAATGTGAAATTATTGTATGGAATTGTCGTGTCGGTGCATGATGCACGCTGTTCCTTTTTCTGTTCCCAACATTTGCTATTATTTATTACGCGTCGCATTTATTATATTTTATTCCTTTTAAACATTGCTCCTACGTGTCTTTATACCTCACGTTTTAGCGTAATAGAGGCATCGTCTATTGAAACGATCTGTTCCACTTCTTACAATTTGTCATTAACAACGTCGCGACACACAAGTACGCGTAAAAAGCGACATCATTTATAAATGTTACTCGATCTCTTTTAACATTTCTTTCTTTTAATGGAACGATCGTGAAAAATTCAACTTTTAAAGATTCCCCGAAAAAGCAACGCACTAGCGATGCGCACGCTTTCTATGCGCGAAGTTCGAGATACACGTTCGAAACTGGAACTTAATCATATGTATCTGTACATCGAGATACCGATTCTATTAGTAAGATGTATATATTCGATGGAAGAAACACAGCGGAGTCGTAAATTAAGGCGCGAACAAGAGCGCGCGCAAATGAACAGAATAAACCAAAACGAAGAAGAACAATCAAACAAGAACTGATTTTCAGTAGCTGAAACGAGAGTATCGATTTTCGTACCGAGTTTAAGTAACGTTTCTAGGACTTACGTTACGAGATTCTCTGCGTGTACGAATCTCATAAAGAAGAGACATTGTTGCGAGGATATCGACATGCAGATAACATTTTACTAAACGAAGAAACCAGTGTACGCGTCATGCGCGTTGTTGATTTACTTTTATGTGTCGGATAAACGAAAAGTAGATGCATTCGTTTACCGAAGCTAGTGTTAAATACGTGCGCAAGTAACTCGTGTTTGCAGAATTTCATTTACGATTCAAATTACTTTATTCGATTCTAGCGAAATAATATACAGCTCATATTTCAATTAACGCTACGTAACACCCTATTATCATAGCATCGTAATACCGCATATTACACTGTTAAATATCATCAAAGGAGCCTATTTATTGGAACGAAATTTTAATTAGTCCCTAATCGAACTGCCGCTAATTGAATCAACTTATCTGAACGTAAACTCCTATTATTTGATGATATTTAATTTATAGATAGTGGAGGGAATTAGCGTGTCTACTCCTACATGTATAAATTCCAGTTACGTTAACTATTCATCTCCCGATCGGAGATATGTATATGGAGTTCTATAAAATGCACCAGTACCGCATAATATTACAGTATATCAAAAACGAGTCTTTTAATAGCAATTCCGCTCTTAGGAGTAGCAACAAAAAAAAAAAAGACAAGAGAAGAAAAATATGTTCGATTCTAGAGTCGCGTTTACTGGAACGAAACGGCATACTACGTATGTATATACCTGTAAACGGGTCGTTACTCCATGTAATCGGGTTTTTTAATCGAGTTTCAATGCTAGTCTCCCTCTATTACCAACGCAACGCCTCTAAGCACTCTGCCTTATCTCTTTGACTCGTTCAAGGTGAACGCGATACTGTCGTCGTTACGATTTGACACGCGATCAGAAGCGCGCAGCGTGATCCCGCTCACCTGCGTCCTGTAAATTTCACCAGCGTGTAAACACTCTGCCTCCGAGTTGACCGTGTCTTTTTCTCCTTTCGTTCTTGTTTCGCGTACGTACGATCAAATAAGCTGCTCGTTTTACCCTCTGACAGGAACACACGCGCCAACGCGTGACATATCAGGAGAGTGAGAGTGAGAGAGAGAGAGAAGAAAAAATTGACCGTGATCACTAGCGATGGGCTTAAATGCGTCGCAAGTAAGTTCCAAGGTAATTACTTAGTTTCCTTTCCTACTTTTCGCTATTCGACTCTGCTCCTTTCTTTTTTTTTTTTTTTATAAAAAATAAGGAATCGTTAAAAAATTACCAGAAACGTTGGGTTACTTTTTTGGGGCCAATAGTTTGTGCAAACACGTTGAAATAGACTTGTTAAAACCAACGTTTCTTGGAAATTCGTACATTAAACGAGCTAAATCGAAAAGATATTCAACTTTTGTTTATTTTTACCTGTAAACCCTTACGTATCTCTCAAGGCAGAGTTGAAAAATTTGGTCGTACGATCAAAATTGAGCGATCTCACTAAACCGCGTAACTATCGTATTATACATATTTAAAAAAAAGAGAGAAAATGATACTTTCGAGTAGATTCGAACCCGATCGTTGTATCTTGCAAATAGTATAATAAACAATATGCAACGGACCTGGGATATTGTATTTAGTTTCGGTTTTTAAATAGGTACATACATATTGAACTTGATCCCATCGCTAGTGGTGATGTTTGAATGAAATTCAGAAGAGAAGCGGCAAGACAAGTCGAAGGCAGGGAACGGAAGGATGTCGTAAAGTGGCAATTTGTTAATGTAAACTGATGTCTCGAGCGAGCTGCTCTCGTGCAACCCAATCGAAGCGTGTAATTTTTGTATTTTGTTTGTCACACAGTTAGCACACCTCTGACGAGTTTTTATTTTTGAAGAGTATGTCTCGAATGAAAAAGGAAGAGACGAACCAAAGAGGCATATAAGCTCGTGTTTGCTCTACAGATACTTAAGGTTGCGCCCGATCTTTTTATCCTTTGCTTTAATATTTACTTTGTACGTTGCAAATTTCAAATGCATATTAATTCAGCTATTTTTAATTAATTTAATTTATTATCATATCATTATTATAAGAAATAAGGCAAAAATAACATGAGAAACGATGCAGGCATTACATTAATCGTACCAATACGTATGCTGCTAATGATAGCGTAAATAATTCTTCTCGACATATCAAAATCGCTGCGAAAAAGATTATTAATTAAAAATTTCGTCGCTCATCGTGTAATCATGATCTCGGTACCTGCTACGGTATATTCCCTGACATTTATTTATCGTGACGTAATACGACTCGAGTAACTCGGGCAACCATTCCGCGGCAACTTTTTAATTACTCGTAATCAGAATCACAATCGAAGGAAGAGACAGAGGGGCGAGAAAGGGATAGAAGTTGAGATGAAAGTTACGAGAGAAGTAAAAAGACATAGACGCGATCCGATCGAAATTGTCGAATTCTAAATAATCAAACCGTTATTTCTTCATCGTATCAAGGACCCACGACATTTAATACGTGACGAACGACGACAAAACCGACCTAAAACTGGCATAATGCAACCCTCGTTGGGTTCTCAGCGCTGCTTATGAATTAGTAATCTCCAATTATGCCATTGATCTTACACATTTCGGTGTATTTTTATGTTTTTCCTTAACAGAGTTTTTATCGTTGATACGATGCGATTGGTGTGTTGGACAGGATGCCAATGGATTGTAAATCCGTTTCATTTATTCAAAAATATACCAGTTGTTCGCATAATGACCCGCTTTTTGCTCGCTTCGCGAGGCAAGCGGACGTGTCCCTAGAGACAATTAAGCAACGACCCGTTTCGAATAGAAATTAAAGTACTGCTCGTTTGGTCGCCACCTCGAGAAATCGACGATCATGTGATTTCTTGACCAGGACCGTTATTACAGCCACGCGATCCACGCATTCGACAGAAAAAATCCGAAGATTGTGGCTCGTGATTGTATAAATGGAATTATTAATGGTTTGACATGGTAACGGGTGTTATTGACGCCGAGGTGCAGCAGGATCGATGCTACGGAACCTGGTAGTTGGAGGTTTGATACAGGCAATGGACAGAATTCTAAAATTAGCGTTATAAGGATAGAAATAGCAGGCTTTTAAAAGCTGTAAATTTGCAAACACGGTAAACTCGAAAGCAACGAGCGTAATGAAACGAGTTGAGAAATTGCACGGGGCATGGACAGAATAGTAACAGTAAGGTTAATATCACGAGAGTAAAAATGATAGGTTCGATAGATAGTGAGTTGTAGTTTCGATGTGTTGAGAAATTAAGACAGTGGCATTAGGATTAAGATATACAGTGATAATAAATTTTCCAAAAGTATAATCGGATATTAAAACAACTTTCAATTTGAATTATATCTTGAAATTCTTATTTCGAAGCATCTACGAGAAATTTAACAAAATTGCATGATTAAATATGGCAGGTACGAAAAGATCCAATTAAGAAATTATACCTATGTCTGT